TAACAATGTATAATTCTTCTGCATGAATCACAAACACGGGCTGCTGTACCATTTCAGATGAGAAATTCTTGTGTTGTGAAGGTGAGTTGACTTGACACCGACAGGAGCTATTGAAAGTGCTTCCTGTGATGAGAGCTTAAGCCTGGGCCTCTGTGCATTAACTAATGGATTCTCAGGGCACAGGTAACCAGACTAAACAATCTAAAACTGGACTGTGTTTTGGTGAGACCTGTTTTGGACTGAAATATGGCTGCCCAATTTCGGAAAAAGTGAGTCTTTGAACTTTTATTGCAAACCTTATCGCAATATTTGTCCAGAGAACACATTGTAAATAACTCCAGGAGGATTGTTGAGCCCATATTACGGCATTTTCTGACCTACGTTATAATGTTTCCTCATTACAAACATACCTGAAATTGTGTTTTGTTAAACACAGAATTCCTGCATATTTAGGCTGAGTTCTTCTTCTCTCAAACTGAAAAATTGTAAAACAGGAAGTGTTTTTAAACTCAACACACCTTCACTAGAATAATTTGGATGATTTTTTGGCTCTCTACTGACCAAAAAAGCAAAAGGTAACATGAAAACTACAGCTACATGACATCACAAGGTGGAACAGAGCATTTCGAGCTGCACTTTAGGGATGTAGACAGACTAATAATAAAGGATTACTCAAACATGTGTGAATTAGGGATGGGCATTCGATGAAATTTTCTTAATCGATCGTCGGAAGAATTAACGATCGATTATCGATTAATCATTAACGTTTTTATATTAAAATGATCATCATTATTATTACTATCTGCACTACTAATCTGCATAAATAAATTTAACTTTACGACATATAAACTGTAACGACTCAAGAGCCACATCAGCCCGTTTTAGATTATAATGTGTTTAATTCAGTTTAGCGCAACTCTCACAGAAACTAAACTTAAAACGGCATCGCTAATTTGCATAAACTCAGCGAAAATAAAACTACAGCTCTTGCGTCGCTGATGCGGTCAGTTTCGGTTAGATTAAAAGACTCAGTGAAATACAGGTTAGTGTGACCACATTTGCGTTTGTCAAAACCAGGACACCGTACGGGGGTGGGAGGTTGCGACTCTCACCTGGTAAAGCTTTTTCCCACTGGACACCGAAACATATGTTCTTGCTTTGTAGACTGTGCACATGGACTCACACTTGTCCCGAACGCAACGGAAAGCGTGGAATTTCTTGTACAAATCATCGTTAAATACGCATTTGTGCTTCGGTACGTTGCAGACTGACCAACTGTTTGTGTTTGCTCGCTCCTTCTGATGCAGAGAGACACATGTACAGACCCCTGTTTGGTCACGCTACGCACAGCAACCTACATTCGGTTTGTCGATTAAAATTAACGTAATCGATGAAATTCTTAATGATCAATTATCGATTAATCGATTAATCATGCCCATCCCTAGTGTGAATGAAACAAAACAACTCCATAATCTCCATTTTCATTTTCCTCACACCATGCGGTCTCCTTACTGCTGTCAATAATCCATACATGCGCACTTCCAATAAAATCATGAATTTAAAAAGGGCCTACCTGTAAAAAACATGTCTTGTAACTGAAGACAATCAGATCATCAACATGTTTAAATAGAGTAGAAGCTTTATATATAGCGCAGAGAAGTTTTTTTTCTTGATGGTTTTTAAATAGATTGATAGTGACAGATGTGAAAATCCCCCAGGCACAATATCACACCTTTCCCTCCATCAAAACCACAGCCAGTCAAAGATAGCAGTGTCTCCACAAAACTGGGAATGTGGAATTTTACTTAAGAACGAAAGAAACGGGAACAAAATGTGTCTATTCTCAAGGAAAATAAAGCAGATTTGACCATTTATGAATTATAACAAGTCTAGAACATAAAACAAATGAAATAATGTGTTGTATGCATGTACTGTATGTTGTCTTGGTCTCCTTCCCTGGTCTCGTTCCCTGGTCTAGGGGACTGCCTGGTTTAGTACCGGTTCAGTCCCGGTTCGGTCCCGGTTCGGACCCGGTTCGGACCCGATTTAGTGCTGGTCCAGACCTGGTTCAGACCTGGTCCAGACCTGGTCCAGACCTGGTTCAGACCTGGTTCAAATTCCAGTTTAGCCCTGGTTTACTGTATGGCTCACTCCTGTCGCTTAGACCTGGTTTATACCCAGTTTGGCAGATCATTTGCTTTCGTGACTCATGCCTAGCACCTAGAGATATCAGATCAGAGATATTTCCAATTTGACGTCAGTACTTGTATAAACTGCTTATCAAAACTAAAATCTATATCGAGTCATTTAATGGCAGCGCGTCATGTTTTCAAACAGACATTAAAGCCTATAAATGGCGTGAGCCCCCACACACTGCAGTGATTGTAATTACAGAAGTGAAACCTGCTGAACAGTGCACAGTGTGTAATCATGAGGATAAAACCAGGAACACAACAACAGAGGCAGCCTTCAAAAACATCCAGGAAAGAATAAAACAGCATGAGGTCACATTTTATATGCACTTATAAAGACACAAATACTACATTGTTTAGGAGTAGTCGGCATTGCCACATTTAAGGATTAAAGGATAGAGATTCTAGGGTTGGTTTGAAGTAATCCAGCAACTTCCTCAAGTGAGAGTACTACTATTACTAAAGAAATGCTATGCCAAACAATAGGTCTGTCACGATAACGATTTTTGAAGCATGACATATTGCTTCAGAGAAAATCCCAGTAAATCATTTTTAAACAGAAACAGTATCATTAAAAGACATAAGATGCAACGAATAAATAGTAGAATGAAGCAATAACTGGCCATAGAAGTTATTTATTCGACCCTCCACAGCTCAAATCTTATCATTTTGCAACTAACATAACAAAAATCTCCTTATTATTGCAAAGAAATTGTACACGATAAACACTGAGCTCCAAAATACACTGTTCCATCTTTAATATATTTAAGTTGATATAGTAATTATCACAACAGGCCTATCAAAAATGAGTCAATTAAAAGTGTGTGTTGCACAGTATTTCAAAACTCTGAACTAACCATCATCTGACCCATGCACTCCCAACTCAAGATAACAACTATTGCATACAGAGAAGAAAATGTAAACGGTGTGGTGGCTTTAAAAAAACAGATTAATCTCACTCCCTAAACTCTCTCCACACGTTCTCCTTTGTACTGTTACTCTAAATCTGTTTTAAAATGCAGCAAAATAATGCATTTCAGATATTCTATTTGATATACGTACATAGTATTGCTGGTTTTCAGATGGTATCACAACATTCTACAGGCCAGTGATATTTAATATACAATATTGTAAGATTCTTGTAATATAGAATGTTATTGGCTCTAGTCAATAATAGAAATGATGAGGTTCAGTATTTGTGAATTGACCTTTTAGATATTTCATGGCAAAGTACAATGAAATCAAGAGGGAAAACTGTCCAGAATCTGAAAACCACTAATTACTTTGCTTAGAATGTTCCACGGTATGGCATTAAACATGTGTATCTCCACAGAAAAATAAGTTAAAGATCTGTGGAGACCAGACTTTTCACAGGAAGAATGCATGATTTGGTATTTATGATGACTAAAAACCTGTAAGGAAATGAATGCTAGATAGATAAGAAAGTGGTGCATCCTATTACAGATAAGTTACACAGTTCACCTTTAAATCTTGCAATTCAGCTTTGTAATCTTGGAAAATTTGACAAATAACACACTATTGGCTGATTAGGTGTCAGCTGCTTTCCTGATACGATGGGGCGCATTCTCTTTCTCTGATGTCAAAGCCAAATAAGAAATGTTTGAACTCTTGGGAAATTCAGTCTCTGTGCGGTGTTTTCAATCACTGTGTATTTTTGTTTTGTTTTGTTAATGCTGGGAACAGTCACAGCTGATCATCCAGTGCCCTAACACAACAGCACTACCCTTATCAAACCCTGTCAAAATGACCCCAGCACTCATTTATAATGGGAGGAAACCACTGCCAACTTTACCATGCTTTCTGACTATTTTAGACAGGCAATGGAAGGGTCAGCACTGGGTAATTTAGCCAAAGGACAAGTTCCTTAGCCCTTATTTTCAGTGCAAACTTTCCCAGAATAGGCAATCGAGCTGCTGTGTTTGTGTAAAAGCAGTGCTGGGAATAACACAGCATTCTAGTTTTTCACATGTGCATGGGACACAGGGGGCAAAGGTCAAGTTCACAAGAACATTGACACTACACTGACAACATGTGTGCAACCACGTTTTCTCATTAAAGGTTATTGTTTCGAAATTATTCTTAAACTAATACGAAATCCTCTTTAAGACAATTAAAAGTCAGTTGACAAATTGAATTGTAAGAAAACAGCTCGAATGTTTTAAAAATATGATCAAAACTAGAAAACTAGTTCACATATTCCTGAATCCATCTTTCTGCTCTCAACCAGTAACTTGGGAAATCCTAAATTAGTAATCAGTTTATCATCTCAAGGTATAAACTTTTAAAAAAAAAGGTGCGCTGTTGGATGGTCCAGCACTTGCTCGTCTCCATGGAGATGTTAGTGCTTCATCTGGAATGTTCCACAGGATGGCATAAACTTATCCATATCCATGGAGACAAGCAGGTGGCACTACCAGGCCAAGTTAGAGGTCAGATGGCTGGATTCCAAGGGATTTTAAGCAACACAAACACCTGCAACTGAATAACTGCGACATAGATCAGTTAAATGCCATACTGTGAAACATTCCAGGCATGCCAAAAACATCTTTATGGAGACAAATGTTGCTGACCCTCCACCAGAAAGTTCCACCGTTCACCTTTAACCTCTAGGCACTGAGACACCACTGCAAAATGACAAAACGCATGAAAAACTCGTGCGTAAAAGCTGGCCAAATAAACTCAACACAGAGACATGAATGTGATGATGATGTAGTTTGAATGGGTTGCACAATGTGTCTGGAAAGTAGCATTTGAGCAACCTGGGTCAAATGTTGAGACAGCACTTACCGAGCAGCAGCAGCTTCACTTCCCTCGCCGCTTTTTCACCATCCTCTCGTAAGTTTTTGTCAATCATTTTCGACCGCTCCGCCGCTGCCTTGTCTTCCTGACTGACCGTACAACCCATGGTTCCCAGTGCGCGCTTCAGGTCTGCGGTTAAGTGGAAAATACCCAAGAGAAAAAAAAAATGTATAAAATGGACCAACCGACTCGGGCAGCCCTGTTTCTCTGGTCAAACGCAGCTAGGGTTGAAGTTGTCGAGCTACAGGCGACAACTTCCCTTTTTCAAGAGCGTCAAACTAACGTGACAAAATCCGCTCATCCGAGGCAGCGCACAAAAAGCATGAAAAAGCGGTTCAGTCCAGCGATGCAAGACTAATTTTAAACGCAGAAATAGTACGTGGGAGAGGAGTAGAGAAGTCAATAAGCCAGCATTGGTCCTCTTCAAGTGATTCAAAGTTGTCCAGTGGGTTAAACTTTCATAAAAAGACAGAAAGCGAGTAAGTTAAAATAAAATCTGCAGGTTATGAGGACAGGAAAAGCGCAAAAAGTTATAAGCCAAAGTATCCCAAAATATATAAGAAGGAAAATTACATTCACGATCAATAAAACTTGTCCCGCGGTGGTCTGTTCGCCTCGTTAAAGTCCGCACGTCTGCTAGCGCATTCTTGGAGATTTCTCACGTTTGAAGCCACACCCGGAGCAGCCCGAAGTTCCCCTCCACAGGACACAGCTCTCTTTGCTGTGAGCCGACCGTGTCACCTCCTTTCAACCCCACCGCCCACTTTCGCTCCGTGGCATTATGGGAAATGTAGTTCAAATTTATAAAGTAAAAAGCAAAGCAACCCGTTTTTTCCCCCTTTGATTAAACTTTGGATCATTAATTACGCAGATGCCTATCTTTATTACCCATTATGTATTTTCCACAATTAGTTATAGATAGATTCAGAATGTTTATTTTTTAGCCTTTAGTCATACTTTGATCACCTTGGGGTCATTTAAAAACCACTACAGTGTTGCCATCTTGTGGAAGATGAAGTAATTACGTTTTGATTTTTGGAAAATCAAGGCTAATCAATTTGAGAAAAGTCACAGCTCCCTGTCGCAATTTAAAATGCTATTAATTGTTTTCAAATGTTTGCACTCTATGGGTCCAGTCTATTTGAGGGAGTTACTGCAGCTCTATATTCCTCCCAGAGCCCGAGATCAAACCAGCTCCTGTGGTTGTTCTCAAAACTAGGCTCAAGACGAGAGGTGACAGAGGCTTTTCTGTGACAGTGCCCAGACTGTGGAACAACCTTCCTCTTCCTGTCAGATCCTCTCAGTGTGTAACGCAGTTTTAGATGAGACTGAAAACTCACCTCTTCTCCCTGGCATTTAGTACTAGCTAATCAGGTTATCTTGGTGTTTTTATTGCAGTTTTCACATGTTATCTGTATATATGTGTATGTAATTGTTTCTTCTGTTTTGTTGACTCGTATGTGAAGCACTTTGGTCAGCTGAGGTTGTTTTAAATGTGCTATAGAAATACATTTGAATTGAATTGAATTGAGTGGCTTTCAAAGTTGAGTAGCCTAATAATACTAAATACTTTGTCATTGATAAATTTACAGGTAAGAAAACCTGTAGGCCTACTAGGTAAGAGTTGGGCAATTGTCTAAAATAGCACATTCAAGAGAAGATATATGGTGTAAAAAAGCTCTACAAGCCTACAATTTCACATATTTTAAAATGTTATTCAAGAAGCCTATGTTAAAAGTTCTGTATATTATGTGGAATTGACTCTTGTCAGCTTTAGACCATGTTATGTTGTTACCTCTTCAAAAACATATCTTGAGTTGTGTTTTGTTTCATTCACACATGTTTGAGTGATAAAAAGTTATTATAAGTTGTCAAATTAACAGCTAACTTTTATCTTTTGTTTAGAGGTTGGCAATTCCAGACGATTCTAGTGAAAGTGTATGGAGTTTAAAAACACAGTGGAGCACTTCTTGTATTACCACATGCTTGAGAGGAGAGCTCAGCCTACAGGATCTGTTTGTCAAGCATGTGTGAATGAAACAAAACAAACTCCAGGTATGTATGTGATGAGGACACAACATTATAACGTTTATCACAAAATAGACATGCCCTTTAATTGAACTCATTACACATTGTTGATTTGCATGTTGGATTTTCTTTTTTTATCCTTTTTGTCAGTTTCACAAGTGTACATTTAGCATTATTATTATAACTATTTCACCTCAAGTCACTAAAAACTTAACAAGAACCTGTAATTGTGGCTAAGATGCTACAAAATTTTTTATATATAACAATTGCCTATAACATAGGCAAGTGGCAATTTAAAGATACACTGCGTAACTTTTCTGATGGAGGGTCTGTAGATTTTATTGCTTTACCTGGAATGTTCCAAAATATAGCATCAAAAATATATAGTTTTTGCATTTATTTTGTTTTGGGTTAGGATTTATAATGCTCAAAAATACCTTGAAAAAGCATGCATTGCTACTGTGCTTGGACTTGTCTTTTCATAGATCTGACCTGTAACTTGGTCTGGTTGTGCCATTTTCTCAACCAGTTTGCTCAAGATTGATATAGGCAAAGCAATGCTATTTCCATGGGGACAAGCAGGCGACTTACCCTCCACTGGGAAAGTTACACAATGAATCTTTAAGGTATATCCTGATAATCTGCAGTAGCAAATGATGATGATGACTTTTTTTTTATTTTATTTTTTTTTATCTTGGCCGTATATAAACATATAAATAAAAGAAAGCAGTATCACGTTACCAGTAGCAACTAATCAATTAAATAAAAGCAGAAAAAAAAGAAAGCCATTATCAGTGATTTAATGTTATCTCATTATCTTTATTGCAACATTGTTTACATTACAATGACTGCCAGCAACATATTAAAATATACAGTATAGATACCAGAAAATAGACATGAATCGAAGAGGGACAAAAAGGTTTAAAAGCACTTTGAAAATGATTACATTGAGACTTGACCCTGGACTACACTCTGGATACTATTTACAATATATAAACTAGATATGCATATCCATATAAAGGGTATCTGTACAATATTTATAAGTGCTGGCTGATCTTAATACTGTCACACAGGTAGGGTCAGTACAATGCAGAGGACTAGTCGTTTTAGCCACTTAAGTTGTGCCTTATCATTTAGTTTATGGTGTAAGAGGTTTTATGCAGCTGTACTTCTTATATAACACACAAACATACAATCCACATAGGGAGACATTGCATTGTTCAGATACACTGGATGGTTATGGTACATTTTCGACATTTTTCTGCATAACATTGAAATATATGGACACACAATGAAATGCAAGAGGTTAAAATTGAAACAAAAAAACAACACTCTACTGGGACAGAAATAGCAGTATTACAGTTTGTCACAAGAGCTATTTCAGGACTAAGAAGTTGTGGTGAAATCTTGCGTCAGACATTCATTCATAAAACTTTCAAGAACTTTCAAGAATTATTTTTAAAGTTTACATAGTACTACTACTGCAAATGTTTAATTGACAATTGAAGTGGGTTGGGGGTCCAGGGCAGTAGACTAGGGGGGTACAAAAAGGTTGTTCCGGGTCCCAGTCCTATTGGTGGGTTTCAGATGATATCAACAACATTCTATAGATCAATATTAATTAATACAGATAGGGGGCAACCAATTATTATTATTCAAATGGAAAATAATGTTGTAATACAGTGAGTTCTAGGGTTTAGTCAGTAATTGAAAATACCAGGTTCAACATTTGTGAGTTGACCTTTTGGATATTTCATGACAAAGTACAACGTTTTCAATAAGGAAATATGGCCCTTGCCCCTCATTTGGACATAAGACATCATCACATTCTACAATCAGAAAAAACATCAATTAATTTATATTAAAAGGGGGCCCATGTGAGGCTTTGTGCCCCGGGTCCTAAAATTTCTGTCAACGGGCCTGTTAACATTCAAGCATGTGTCAAACCAACCAGTTATAATGTGGTCTGGGTTGTATGTTTTCAAAAGCGCAATTGAAATTTTCACTTTCAGTTTCACTTTTAAAATAATTTGATAGTAATACACAGATTTGCAGAGTTAATCCATGTTGGAAGTTAGGATGATTGACCACGCTAAAAGCAATATTGGTAAACATGAACAAAATTGTGATCAGATAGAAATACTGAAATAACATCCGACTTATTTTTAATGTTAAAACTTATATAGTAATTATAAATACAGTGGGTTAGCAGCATGGTACATTCTGCTTACACTGTTTACCACTACAATCTGTGCTTTCGGATTTGTTTTATTTTTTATTCTTGCTTTATCCAGTAATTAGCATCAGAATTGTTAATGTAACTGTTAATGACAAGTGGAGAAAAATATTACCTTTTATGTAGCAATGATAGGCCCATATAATTCAGATTCTCATTACAATTATTTACCATCTTAAAACCACAACTTATTAAATAATAAATCTAATGGTATTATTGCTATATCACTTCTTAGCAGCCATTTTTCTGAATGTTGATACGCCACGACGATAGAAGTCCTGTAGGGTATCTGGCATAAAATAGACAACCAAATGAAATGTCTTGACTCTCCAAATGATTCTCTTTGTTATGTTGGCAGTTGTGATAAACTGTAAAATCTTAAAATATGGGGAAAGACATCAGCTCACTAAATATCTAATACTACAACTATAAGACAAGTGAAGACAGAAACGGCAACAAAACAACATAAAAATCATTTACAAATATCTTCCATATCTTGCGTTACATAGATTTTTAAAAGAATATAGAATCTATTGACAGTGTGTTATATATTTCTGATAAGTACAGGTCCATATAGTACAATACAAATGCATATAATTTGTACACTCGTTCACATACACCGAAGAAAGAGTTTCTCATTTAAAAACACTACACCTAACTACAGTACTCATGAAGGGCACTAGGGGGCACTGGCACACACATACACACAAGCTAAAAAGTCATGTTATTTCAAGTTTCCAGAAGAAGACATCCATCATAATACATTGTTGCTTTAGTTTAATTATGTATTTTATGTGCTATTTTACGATCAAATATTGTAAATTTTAAAGTACAATATTGTTGCTTGTCGTCAGGGTAACAGCTACAGGAGACTTGTAAATTGTGCTTGTAAATAATAGTGCTATTGCTAATATTACTTAAGCAGCCATGTTACCTTTGTTATACTTTTATAGGCCTACTTCACTTCAGGTTTGTGCTCAGTTTTATTTTATATACATCCATCAATACTGTTACTCAACCCTGTGTACATAAAGACGCACTACGGAACTTTTCTGCAACCTGTTTGTCTCCTTGGAGGCTTTACCTGGAATGTTCCATTGTATGACATCAACTGTATCTATCTCCATGGAGACAAGCAGTCCAAGTTACGAACCAGGTCTGTGGAGAGGCAACCCCGCTCACGAACTAAGAATGCATGCTGTAACTGAATAAAAGTGAGACAGGTCCATTTAATGCCATACTCAGGAACATTCCAGGCAAGGCAGTAGCAACTCAATAGTAATGAAACTCCTCCCAGAAAAGTTACATAATGCATCTTTATATGATGGTCCAAATACAAAGAATAAGAGACAGAAAAATGCGTCTCTAAAGCTAATGGCAGTGTAGTTGTAGCTGAGCCTGTGCTTTTGATTTCAGATTTTGTTAAAGCTAGAATTCTCAACTGGTGCGTGAAGGACCAAACTAGGGAATGTTTTTAGCAGGTTGTAGACATAAATCACAACCATTTTTGTTGTAAAGCTAAAGTATATTACAGGAGATACTAACTCCAGCCACAAGGGGTCAGGATATTGCTTTTTCAATGTTGCCATAGTAATTAACAATCCAAAATGCAATATTCTTAGCTGTGATTGGTCAAAAGTCCTCGAAATGTCTCCTAAACAGCGAGTTGAAACCTTGAATTCAGAGCTTAAATGCAGTTTCTAGGCCAGATCTTGATAATATTGTTTTATGATAAACCACAAAACAATGGCTGCACTGATCTAGCCTTTTCCATTTTATTACCGATATCGATACTATGACTTGAAGTATCTGCCAATATCCATTATTAACCAGTACCAGTGTAGCGATTAAGAATGTCATTTTTTTCTCTCAAAACATAGTTAACATACAGTATTTGATCCAGTTGTGTAATTACATAACTTTTTTGAAATGTACTGGGCCTACATCAGTCAGTAAATAGTCTTATTACATCCAGTGACAAGCCCAAACTGGATATCGGGTGAATATATTGATATTATGGAACCAATACAAGATATAGGAAATATTATTGGTTCGGCGCAGATATTGGATACCAATATGGCATCCGTTAGCCTAATTCATCATCCGGTTTCACTTCGTAGAAACTGTCTGACCTCGCAGTGTTAGAATTTGTTTGCTCAACGGTAGGCGGGTACTTTTTATTATTTAACCAATCACTGCTATTTGGTCTTGACGTATGTAATGCGCTGCTAACGGGGCTAACTGGTATATTAAGCTTTTCCCAAATCCCGTAGGAAGAAGGACAATAACGTCTTTCCCCTTGATGAAATTCTCTTTGTTCCGGCTTTAAATCCTCGATCTCGGGAATCGTTGACAACACTGAATATATGGCTTTTCGCTGATTGGATGGTGCCCGGACATGCACTTCCGGGGTTTTTGCAAACCGTCTACTGTTTTTTGATTCCTGACCTAGTCGCTGGAGTGAAATTAAATTGAGCGGTATCTGTGCATCCCTATAACAAAACCTCATGATCTAATTTCTCCCATTGTCAGAACATAAAAGAGGGAAATGTTTGAGTCAGCTACGGTCCCAATTCGGTTCTAGCTCATAAATCCCTCTTGCCCCTATCTCGCAATGCTGAAGAAGTAGTGCTTAGATCTGGGCTAAAATAGAAATCTTTCAGTATAGAGATAAAATTCTCTTTAGAGCTCCTATCTATTTAACAATTGAAAAATACAATTAAAACAAAGGAAAATTTGTCAAAAACTTGTTCAAATCCAAATTATCATAGAAAACATTCGATCCGTACATGACACCAGTTGAAAATCTCTGCTTTAACCTTTTAAAATGAGATGAGGTTTTTGCGTACCATTTACCACAAAACATACACACTTGCACATACATCAACACAACCAGTGACAACACTTCTGTCTCAATACTATTATAAATCCTTAAACTCCGGTCCATACTGCATTTTCTGAGGTTAACTTCATGTAGAGATGAGTAAAAATAGACATCTGGATTATAATTTCATTTGAAGGTAGGAATGTTATGGTAAAAATAATGCTTTGCCACCTGCAGTGCATCACGTGTTGCTTGGAGGGGAGATCGCTAACACCTCCCATACTCAAAATAGACCTGTTAGTAAAATAGCAGTTTCCTCTTATCTGTGCATTAGAGTTGATATGGTTTATATGAATAACTTAAAATTATAATGATAACTATAAAGACCTCCACCAAGGCATTGCAGTCCACTTTGAATCTACAGACACAATCCCAACCAAAAAGAACATTACAACTATAACTCCATACTGGTGGCGTAATATAGGGAGCCCCATTTGCAATCTACAGTATTGTAATGTCCTACGTATTGCTTTATATTACAACCAGCTGCTTTCTGTGGGTCCACCTTCACTCCTCACGTACTTATTTACCTGTGCAGTCACTGTTCTCACCTTTTGACCATTTTTGATAAATACTGACCACTGTAGACCAGGTATACCCAACAAGAACTGAAATAAACCAGGTCTAGCCAAGGATTAACCAAGTCTAACCAAGGACTAAACCAAGTCTTACGCAGGACTAAAGCAGGTCTAACCAAAGACTAAACCAGGTCTAGCCAAGGACTAAACCAAGAAACCAGGACTAAACCAAAGGACTAAACCAGGACAAAGACTAAAGGCCAAGGACTAAACCAGGTCTGGCCAAGGACTAAACCAGGTCTAACCAAAGACTAAACCAAGGACTAAAAGGACTAAACCAGGTCTAACCAAGGACTAAACCAGGTCTGGCCAAGGACTAAACCAGGCCAAGGACTAAACCAGGTCTGGCCAAGGACTAAACCAGGTCTAACCAAAGACTAAACCAGGTCTGGCCAAGGACTAAACCAGGTCTAACGAAGGACTAAAGCAGGTCTAACCAAAGACTAAACCAGGTCTGGCCAAGGACTAAACTAGGTCTAACCAAAGACTAAACCAGGTCTAACCAAGGACTAAACCAGGTCTAACCAAAGACTAAACCAGGTCTAACGAAGGACTAAAGGAGGTCTAAAGAAAGACTAAACCAGATCTAGCCAAGGACTAAACCAGGTCTCATCAAATTATTTGGTCCACATAAAACTTATAACTTTCAGCTACACATTTTTCTGCCTGTAACAACTATACAAAATGGATCCCTGCAGTGCAACAAACTACCAACATCACAATTCAGTTCAAAATGTTAACCCATGCTGTTGACACCTGGAGTAATATCATGCCTGATCTAAGTTATCTTATACTGCAATGATAACTGACACAGATTCAAACCAAAATCCCTCCCATTTACTCCTTGTGCTATTAAAGGTGCACTAGAATGTTCCACAATATGGCATTTAACTTATCTCCATAGAGACAAGCAGGTGACATCAGACAAAGTGACAGAACTTTGAAGATAAACCTTGTCAGAGTAAAAGTGTATGCTTTTTGCAAGTTTATTTTTTCTTAGTGATAAAAACATCTTTTACTGAATACATGCAATATATAAGTTTAATGCCATGCTGTGGAACATTCCAAGCTAAGTAATAATCTCCTCGGAAACCATCACAAAAGTTACACTGAGCACCTTTTTGTGCTTCATTTGTCATCTCACCAAAACGCAACCACATTATAGTGTCTCTTGCAGGTAAACTAACAAACAAACAAACCTTGACACAACTTTCTTGGCGGAGGTGAAGAGAAAATATATATGAAAATAATAAATCTATAACCTATTTGAAGTCGTTGGTACAACTCAAACCGATCCCGATCCGAGCAGTTGGCGATAAAAGCTTCTTGTAAAACACACACACAAACATATACCAGTCATTATGGGACTCTGTCTGAAAGGCACAGCCTCCTCTCCTCTGAATAACTTTGAACCTGGCCTGTGCAGTTTTGGCAGGATGGGGCTTTTTCCAACAGCAGACACAACCAAAGACACAAACATGAAATCCACACGTTTTTGTTTCTACATAAATTCAATAGTAAAAAAAACCCTGAAGGTGAGACTGGTCTAGTGGGCGCTGCTGGCTTTGCTCGACCCTGAAGTCCAGTCGATGATGATAAAGCTCAGACTCATGATCATGAACAAGAAGCCCAGACCAGCAAAACACGCAGCCTGAAGAGGAGAGAGGGAGGGATGGAGAGAGGGAGGTAGAGAGGTAAGATAAGTACACTTTATAGTCCGTTTGGGGAAAAGGTCTCCTACATTTGACCCATAATTCAATACTACAGATTCAGATTCGGTACAACCTGTGAGGAGTCGTGAGTGATCAGATATGTGAATATTATGTCATTATGTCTCTTAATTAGGGCTGGGTACAGTAACGCGTTAATTTTGCGTTAACTAATTAATTCATTATCGCCGACAATTATTTTTCTCCCCTTAACGCAGTTTTTATTATTTATTTTTTTACTGTAAACGTCTGTTGCTCACTGGCTTTTATTTTGAAAAAGTCCATTGCGAGCGAGCCTAGAATGTTGCTTATTGCTGCAGCACTCACAGCATGGAGAAGGTTAAGGAACTTTTACATGACCATTTTGATTTTGAAGTTCTTCCAGACGGCGCAGTCTACACAGCAAAAGTCATTTGTAATACTGCAACACTGAATTGTCTTATCACCGAAGTTTCAAAAAGTATAAACATGGACTTTACAGATTAGTGCCCTACTACTGTATAAAGAAATGCTGTTTGCACAATAAATGTAGGGCACTTTTGTTTACATTTCGAATAAAAGTGGGCTATACACTACTTTTTAATTCATTAATTGGTTTTGTGTATAACATGCATATAATCGTGATTAATAACAGAAACTCATGTGATTTATGCGATTAATATTTTAAATTTTTGCCCAGCCCTACTATTAATACATATATTTTACACTGACCTTATCTGGTAGGGATACATGTTAAAGTATTATTTAACCACCACAACTCAGACACCCCAGAATAAGTATAATTTTGGTTCTAATATGGCACAAAATTCTTCCATGATTAATTTAGCTTGCCTGGTCATATTTATACTTCATTTTTAAATGTGCACGTAGTTTGCCAATGTAACAGAAGGCTGGCAGATCAAACTGTGCTCTCACCGTGCTGTAACTGAGTCTTTTCGTAGTGTCTTAATGTGTTATTCTGAGTTATTTTGTAAGACTTTTTGCCATTAATTAGTATATTTCACATTTGGGGTTTAGGCATCTATCCCAGAACCAGACATTGGCCTGTTCAAACCAGAGCACATATTGTTGTTGTGTCCTTGAGCGCTCAACCCAATGAACCCAATCTGTCAGATCACCAAGACATCAGTTCACTGCAGCAACCCCAGCGAAAGGGACAGATGATGGTAACTGTTCTAATTAACTGTAAGTACAATAGTATACGTAACTCTGTTCATGAGCTATAACGTATATTTTTGTTATTGTATATTACTGCTGCCATCAATACTAAAAATGTATCTGCATTGTTTAACATCTGTACTGTTCTTACCAGTATTTTGGGAGGTGAACGCAGAGGCTCCTCTTCTTTGGGTACAATGCGAATATAGAAAACGGCAGGGAAAATAAATATGAGGCACGGGGCGGAGGTGGCACCTGCAGAAACACAAATACATGAACATTTTTAATCAATATTGTATTAATTAGGTGAGATTGGCTCTAACCATGACTGGTGACCTATATTAAACATGTATACCGTTTACATTAAATCTTGTCACTGCTTTCACTTCTTCTTTCCCTCCTTCTTCTGCTTTTGTCAAATACAATCAGTTTGGTTTGATTGAAGTAGTAAAAGTAAAAGTAGTAATAATAAAACTGAATACATATAATGACACTAGTGATAATTCATTCATTAATTTCTATGGGAGGTTTACTGTTTTTAAAATAAATATCCAAATTGAAAATTGACGAACGATGCAGTAATAAAACCTTTGACATGAAGTTCTTTTCTTTTATCAAACCAAAATCCTGAGTTTGTGGTGAGGAATGCTGCCACTTTTTGAAACTATTAAATATTATAGTTTGTTTGTGCAGAGAAACATTGAACTTTGTGCCAGTTTAGTTTTATGTGGATAGGCCAAGTAATTGCAGGAGAGATTAACAATAACAAGGAAAAAACATGTATTTTTTGACAGTAAAAAAGGCTAATTCTAGCATCGAATTCTGACCTGTCCCCCACCTTGACTTTAATCTATAAACATTCTATAGTATTGCGAAGTAACGTGAATGAACAAAACATTGTCCTTAAAAAAGCCTTACCTATGATTCCAAAGATGCCCAGGATGTTGGGTGCAAAGATGACCAGCAGGTTTATAAAGGTGAGCAGGACTAAGGCTATGGCGATATGTCGAGGCCAGTTAAACGTCTTGTTAGGAAACATCATCTGCTGGATCGCTCTCCGAACCTGGGAAAAAAAGAAAATATATTATGCTTTCTTCTGGTATTTAATGATAAACTATAAGACAGAGGTCACATCATTTTTATTATAAAACACTGTTCATCGAATGTTGCTTTATAATAGAAGCAGGCCAAAATTGAACAATTGGTGCTGGCTGGTGGTAGTGGATTATTATTAACATTTTTAAAAATTACTACTACTACTACTACTGCTACTACTACCCAAAGTCTATAGTAAGTACAGGGGCATGGGCAGGGATAAGGGAATCTGACAATTTCTATGTATGCCGTCTTAAATGCAGAACAATGCAAGATAATTCAAATAGGCAAGTATGTTTGAGCATGACTATGGTAATAATGAGGGAAAACCATTATAACATGGTTTAAAGATCAAAAATGTTACATTAAGTGAATGAAATTCCACTGTATTTATTGCATAACTTGTTCACAGTAAACGTATATTACCGGGAATAATACGATGGGCACAGTGAGGGTGACAGCTGTGAGCACGGCCACACGCACACACAGGATCAGAGTGTCGTACGGGTCAATGCGACTGTACGTGTGCAGCAGCTCCGCCTCCACCTCACCTGAGAACAACACAACATATCAATACTAGTAACTATAATGTACAGCATGCAAAAACAATAAATAAAAAAGTGATTACTGTTCACATAAGGGGAAAACAAGAATTATTTTATGGTGCAGAAATGAAATGCCTCAAGCAAAAGCACAGCACTACAGTAAAAACTCTAACAGCGCTCATAAACAACATCTCCACCTCATGACATTTTGTTTTGTTCATGATCCCTTTTATGAAGTGGCATGAATGTGTGTGGGGCACTTTACTTAGGCAACAAAAACATTTAATTGCATATGTTTTTTTCACATAGTCATGGCATTTTATCTATTAACATTTCCAAAGCATCATCTGGTTATTATTGTTTTAGGTCAAAATTAACAGGGTATCCCCAGGTTTGACTACCCCAAATTTAAGACTTTTCTAAGACCTTTTTAAGACCACTTAAATGAAAATTAAGACCAACATCGCACCCATTATGCGGGCCAAAAACCCTAGATCCAATTCTAATAATGACCATTATTTGCTGCTTTAAATAACAAAAACTACTTTTATTATAAAATCTCATTCAGAACTCATTTATAGTCGTATTCATTGCTTGTAAAATGGCCAACATTTTTTTTTATAACATTCTAACAAGACAAACTAACCTTTCACATTGTCTTGTCTCACATTGTCTTATTAAATGCTTCAACCATTTAACATTTTCAACAACAACAAACTGTTGTTCACTGTACTGATTGTTTACTCATTGCCGCCGGTGCTAGAAACCAAAATACTGTTTGTGCATACTCCAAATTAGACGTTCATTCACATTACATGATTTCACATTGTTATTGTTTTTTTCCCTCCCTCCATTTAACATTGCACTGCAGCCCGATTGAGTTTACAAAAATAATAGGCTAATGAAATTTAAGACCTTTGTGAGAAAAAAATAAGACTTGAACAACATAACTTAAGACTTTTTAAGGCCTTAATTCAGGAACATGAAATTTAAGACCTTTTTAAGACCTTTAAGACTCCACAGCTATCCCGATTAAGGTCAACAGTAAACAGCTTTAATGTTGTGTATCTAAAATTCTAACATGGATTATAATTATTCCTCATTGCTTATTCTTCTTCCTGGGATGCATACACAGTCCATAGAATAATTTACATAATAGTAATAAAGCTCATGGCTATCACACTTCAAAATGACCTTTAGAACTTACATGTTCTGTGGTAGTGTGACCATATGACCACTAGAGGGTGCACATGCTTCAGAAACACACATATAAATATCACGTTCAAAGGTCCAGGAGTTGAACTTACCATAGAAAGTGAGGTATCCAAAAAGAGCAGCCAGGAAATACATAATGTACATGACGGCTATGGAGATGTTAGCTACATGCTGCATCTTCTTCTTTGTGGCACTGAAATCACAACATGTCACCGTTACATGTTAAGTTGATCAGTTCGTTGTATTTTTAAGTGAATAATAAAACAGCCAAATCACCATAATTATCCATAAGGACAACCATGTTTAAAATAATGCACTTAAATTATGTATTTTAACCAACGAATTAACTTTAATATCCAAAATGCCAAAATTAGTCTTAGGAAAAACAAGCAAATGTGGTCCAGTGCACAATGCAGGGTTGAACCATGCTGAACCAGACAAGCAGAAAAGTGCAATGTGTTTGAACATAAAGTGAAAGCAGTGCATGTGCCTTGGTTACAATCAGCCAAGCACTAAGTACCAGCACGGCTTTACCTTGATACCACTACAGACTCTTCCTCAAAGGAGAAAGGAGGAGTTCCACCATTTTAAACATACTTGCGCAGCTCTGTGTAGATGGGCAGCACCTCGGGGTGGCACACAAAGGCAAAGGCCAGGATAGGGATGGTGTAGGCCGTCTGGAAATCAATCAACATCAACAGTAGGCTTGTCATGATAAAAAGTTTGGTATTTTGTAACAGAAAATAGACGATAATATTGAAAACCTACGTAACCATGTGACATAAGTGAGAACCTTTGCTATTGATACTTTGCAGTGACGTCACGCTGGAGGAGTTCTACATGTATTTCTAGGGTAGAATGTATCTATAGTTATCATAGTGACTCATTTCTCGCAGTAGCAATCACTAGGGCTGGGTATCATTAAGAAGTTTCCGATACGATACATATCTCGATACATAGGCCATGATATGATACATACCTCGATACAGTGCACTTTCGATTCAGTACGATATATTTCAAATTGATTTGATATGGTTCAGTAAAAAATGCAAAATGATTGCTGTGATACTAAAAGTCTTTTTTAAACCACTTTTTGTGCAAGGTTAATATGAAACACACCCATCTTACTCATCAAACCAATGAAAATGTCAAATAAATTAGTTTCCTTCCACTGAATAAGGAACAAAACTGTAGCACAGTAACAAAATCATTTAGTAAAAAATACCAAAAAATACTCTTGGCAATATATCCATACAGGAGCCCACAATATTCATACTGTATGAGCACATTAAAAGATACGATATATTAATATTTCGATCTTTTTGCACACCCATAGCAATCACAGCCAAAAAGTTTTAAGTTTTAAGTCTGAAAACTCAAGAAAAATGCAAGATGGATTGCACCTGTCGTAGAACTAGCTAAGTCACTTCTTTCCAGTCATATTGTGTTAAACTCAGATTCACAGAGGGCCAAAATTAAAAACGGGGACTAAGTTGTGAGCCAAAGTTAATATTTAATGAAGAATTTCAACAACATCTGCATGTTTTCTACTCTTTCGAGAGATGTAATGTTAAACCTCTTCTTATTAAAATAAATGTTTAATAATAATTTTGCTTAAACATTGAATTCAGAACAAGCATAATATAAAATAATTTCAACTTTCAATAATTAATGTCTCTATAGTCTATCTGTAGCTGGAGGGCAGTTCTAATACATATTTGATATGATCTCATGGGCCAGATATTTTGCCCCTGAGTTTGACATGTCTGTGTTAAAACAAAACTCATACTAAAGTCTGACAAAGCCTCAGACAGAGCAGTGCCTACAGTTAGCATCACACCTCCATGGAATGTTAATATCAGCTGCAAAGTATCAATAAAAAGCTATATATTAAAATGACCCAAGTATGAAGCACAATAAAGGCAAAAAAAAAAAAAGAAAAAATACAGAAAAGAAAAAAATAACATATAGCAAAGGCTGAACTAAAACAGAGTCATAGAGATATTAATAACTGCTGTCTTTTAAACTGCATGATTCAAACGGCATGTTTTAAACTTGTACATTAACACAATTCATTCATTAATTGTCAGCATTTTATCTCTGTATGAAAAACTTGAATGTCCAAAAAGTGGCAAATTAAAAACCGTGTATGTCACAAAAGTTCCACTTTAGTCCAAATAAAGGTACATGTGATAAATACTGTGATAAAACTAAATGTTCTTCCTCTAATGTATTTAACTATAAGAAATCATTGTGTCAGTCTGGCTTAACAAACAAGTCGCCATGGATACAGCCATGGGACGTCCCAAACTGAGACCCCACATTGATGCACACTCACACCAATCACACAGGGCTAATTGTTCCTCTGTGATTAACTAAGTCTGGAGAAAGACCAGCTGGATAAGTGCTTGGCTCCAGACAGCAGGGAATGCCACTGGACACAGGGACCTCCACGAAAGTCATATATATCAATGCTTTTTGCCATATTAATCTTAAAGGTGCACTGCGCAACTTTTCTGGAGGGTCCGCTACCTGTTTGTCTCCATGGAGATGTTATAGCTTTCCCTGGAATGTTCCATGGTATGACATTAAACATATCTTTCCAGCATGTATTCATTACAGGTGTTTCTATTGCTGAAAAATACAATAATTCCTTCTGTGAATCAGGGCGTCTCTCCACAGATCTGAATTGTAATGTAGCATAGTTAGTGGTGTAATCTGCTTGTCTCCCCTGTGATAAATAGGTTTAATCTTTATCATGGAATATTCTAGACAAAGCAGCATTTCTATGGAGGTAAGCAGGTGGTGGACCATTCGCTAGAAATCTAGAAATGTTACACAGTGCACCTTTAATGTTGGAAATGGCATTCTATTTTCTTAATAAAGTGTGTTAGTCATTTTAGCTGACAACTATCATCTACTATCACAGTGTAAACTCACTTCCCAGCTTATTTCAGTTTGTTTATTTATACTGACAGAGAGATAATGAACTTTGAGACAGTTTTTGTATCATATGTTGTTACAGCCACAGGCCTCCAGCTCCTTCTGTAGCCATATATGTTTAGGATGTTAACTCTCAGCCTCCATCTTCCAGACCCCTGCAGTGATTGGTGGATTCAGTTCAAGCTGGCACCTGGTTCCTTTTCAACTGATGGAGGATGGTGGATTGCCCTAGAACCTGGCCAATCCTGTGCTACACCTGCACCACCACACCTACAAAAGGACCCACCCCCTGTCACTCGGAGCTGCTGTTCTGCCTGTGGACTGCATGCCACTTTTGCTGTGTCTCTTTGGCTACGTTCAGACTGCAGGGCTTAATGCTCAATTCCGATTTTTTTGTGAAATCCGATGTTTTTGCGAGGTCGTTCACATTTCCAATTAAATGCGACTTGTCTGTGACTTCAGTGTGAACGGTAAACGGCCCGAAAGTGTCCCGCATGCGCACTGGAGGACACGATGACGTCAACCCGCGAGCGTGCTCTGTGTTTACGGAAGTTGTCCAAATATGGTCGCGAGCATTGAGCACCTGGCGATTTTACAGTTCCGGTTTCCGCCTGCTTCAGCGCAGAATAGTGACGTTTGTCGCTTGTTAATGACGTGTAGGTCGGATGGACGCGCTTTGGCCGTTCAGACTGAAGTCGCATGTCAAAAGATCGGATATGTATCGGATTCAGGACCACATATCCAAGTGGCCTGGGTCGCATTTGAAAAATTCTGATCTGTGCCGTTCAGACTGTCATTAAAAGATCGGATACAGGTCACATAGAAGCCAAAAAATCGGATTTGGGTCACTTCAGGCTGCAGTCTGAACGCAGCCTAAGTCTTTGCTGTGTTGCTCTGGTTAATTTTGTGAACCTTGAGAAACTAATAGTCCTTTGTGACTTTTGTGAGTTTGAAACTGGTTTTGTGTTTCTGTTTTTGTCATTTTGTATACTCCGTTTTTGTTAGCTTACTTTTAGTTACATGCATTTTTGCCACTCTGTTTAGAGCCTCTTTTTGTTAATTATTGTAAATATCATTTGTTAGTTTTAAATAAATTACAACTTTAGTTTTACCATTTTACCATCTTGAGATATAAACATGAACAAGGTTAGTCTGCAGTGTGACAGTTAAAAGTCCAGAATTCTGATTCCATCTCAATTTTAAACTATAAATAATGAGTTTACATACAAAAATATTAATGAAAATGACCTTGATAAATACAGTAGATTTGTTTTTTGTTTTGTTTTTTTAAAGCTTTGACTTGCAGATATCTGATTGAAGTCAAGATCTGGGCATCATTCCACCATTTGTGTGATAAATGCCTTGGTGAAAGTCTCATTTTAAATCAACACATTCAGTAAGTGTGCATTACTGAGCATTTTAACTGCACCACATCTTAAATAGTAAAAAATAGTATCTTTAACTCCACTTGAGATTGTTTCCGCTAGAATACTCCTTCAGTGACATGTTTCGACTCATCTGGCATCCAGATGACACAGGTACACAGACATTATTAGCAGTGTAAATGAACCACACATGTAATAACTCACTTGAGAGTTGAGGTTGGCCATTTTGGGGACACAGGTGTCGTCCTCCTCCCCTCCCGGATCTGTAGTGTTCAGAATGGGGCTGTGAGTTGTGCCGTTAAAAGCAAACTCTGTGAAGGGGCAAGGGAGGTTGAACTTCTTGTATATGACCTGAAAATACAGAAGATGTAATATTAAAAATCGACCCATACAAATTCTCAGGTGTTTACATTAGGCACAGACAAAAAAAATGGATCAGCGCTGATGAGTATCATCAATGGAGAAGCAGTAAATCCAAAAAGCAAGCAAAAATATAAAAGAAATCATAATTACGAACAAAAATGCACTATTTATCTATTGTGGACCAAATCTTGTGCCTTGAGAATTGTGTCTTACCTACTCCTTATTTCAATTGAAATAATATGTTTTTTTAATTAAAGAGCTGCAGTATATATGTAAGTCACGTATCACTATGCAGGCTAAAAAACACAATAGCATTAGGTATCCAACGCTGCTTGCGGCTGAAACTAGGTCAGAGACTGCAGTGGTCCACCAGCAAAGGTCAGACAGCGAGGGAGTAGAGAAAGGTTAAACCCAGTGTCATTTGTATTACTCCAGTCTGTTGCTAAAGCTAGAGTGATGGAGCTTACCGCAATGAGAAAGAACACCATACAGCTCAAGGAGAAGCCACTGGTGTATCCAAGGTAACCTGGAACAGAAAGGGAAAGAATGTTCTAAAGATGCACTATGTCACTTTTCTGGCAGGTGTTATTGTTTCGCCTGGAATGTTTCACAGTATTGCATTAAACATACAGTAAGCATGGCCTGGTAGTGACCCCTGCTTGCTTTCATGAAGAGAGATATACATTAGCCTGATTTATCAGCCAGTTTCACTTTGTAGAAACTGTCTGACCTTGCAGCATTAGAATTCGTTAGATCGATGGTATGCGTGTACTTTTTTCATTTAACCAATCGCTATTATTTAGACATGACGTTTGTAATGCAACGCTAATGGGGCTAACTGGTATATTAAGCTTTTCCCAAATCCCGTAGGAAGAAGGGCGATAACGTCTTTCCCCTTGATAAAATTCACCAAATATTCTCTTTGTTCCGGCTTTAAATCCTCAATCTTGGGAATCGTTGACAACACAGAATATATGGCTCTTCGCTGATTGGCTGGTGCCCGAACTCGCATTTTCTGAGTTTTTGCAAACCGTCTAGTGTATTCTGATTCCTGACCTAGTCGCTGAAGAGAAATGCAATTGAGGCGGAGGCACTAGGTGGCGCCAGCCTGGCTAGATATATATAACATTCCAGGCAAAGCAGTAACATCTCCATGGGGACAAGCAGGTGGCATCAGAAAAGTTACATACTATACCTTTACACTACATAGTACATTCTCAGTAGAGTTTTTGAAAAGAAGAAAAACTACTGACTAAGGTCTTTTATTACACAAAACAGACTCTTGTTTTAAGTTTTAATGCTGTTACCTCCTCAAACCATACCTGGAGTTGTGTTTTGTTTTGTGTTTTGTTTCATTCACACATGTCTGAGTAACCCTTTATTATTAGTCTGTCCACAGCTTCAAAGCTCAAAATGCTCTGTTCGTACCTTGTGGTGTCATGCAGTGGTCGTTTTCACGTTAACAACAACCTTTTAATTTTAGTTCAGTAGAAACTGGCAATTCCAGGTCTGAAATGATTCCAATTATTCTGGTGAAGGTGTATGGAATTTAAAAACACACTGGAGCACTTCCTGTATTACCACATGACATCACAAGGTGGAATAGAGTGCTTTCTGTTTGAGAGAAGAACTCAGCCTAAATATACAGGGTTTGTGTGTTAAACATGTGTAAATGAAACAAAACACAACTCCAGGTATGTTTGTGATGAGGAAACAACTTTATAACAGATTAGAAAATAGTGTAAAATGGTTAAGTATCAAGTTCTGAATTTAATGCCACCTTTCTATAATCATCACTTTTTTCTTTTTGCGATTGTGTAACAGTTCTAAGTGAAGTACCAGCTATTGCTTATATGATTTCCAAAACAAAAGGATAAACCAACATTCATCTTCTGTCAGTTTTAAGCCTGGTTTCCTTTCAGCTACTGTGTATGTGCTTACAGACGGATTAGACCATGTTTTCCATTTCTTAAGACATCTATTTTTCCACAAGCTCCAATGATCCTGACTCAAACCCATTGTGTTTTCCATATGAACAGTGGAGAAGAGGAGCTCACTCACCGAGCTGCTTCATCAGAGCCAGAGGTAAGATCACCGCTATGGACACGATCACCACCAGGTAGTTTCCGTTCAGGTACCACTCTCTGTCAAGACAAAACCAAATCTGATGTTTAACTTTTGGTAATACAATGAACACAGTGTGAATTGTGTGTTTTTTTTATTCAGTGGTGATGGGGAGGATGTCATCAGTGTCAGGGCAGAGCAGTGCAAATGATGAGGCTGTATGATTTTACATTTAAGGTTTTGTACTGTTTGAACTCACTAAAAAGCGTATTAATCCTTTGCAGCCGAAGTCATCAGTATTTCCAGGGGATGTGATGCTAACTGTAGGCACTACTCTGTCTGGGGCTTCGTTAGACTTTAATCTGAGCTTTATATTAACAAAATCTAATCAGAAAACGCTGGTGTGTCTCAAATAACATTATTGCCTTGAGTTTTTAGACCATCTTAAAACTTTGGAAGTGTTTGCCAATGTGTGGAACAACTGATTTATCAAGAAAGTAGACTTAGATATAGGCTTAAACTTTATTGATCTACAAGGGAAATTAGTTGGACACAAATCACATCATATTACAATAACAAAGAGTATAAAAATATTTTAAAAATGGTAATAATACTTCTAAATAAGTAGCAATAAAAGTAGTCATAGGAGTCAGCTTCCTGTCTATAGGTGATATTTTCAAGGCATTTTCTTATTCAAAACATATAATATTTTTTTTCAGATTGTTATTTTCTAGAACAATAGAGCTAGATTTTCATCACTGTGAAGCTCATGCATAAGATGATATAATTTTGATGTCATTTTGATTTATGATGTAATTTTTGCATATCCACATCTGATTTTGTGTAATGTCGTGTGATGTGATATCGAGGAATATGAAATGAAAGATGTAATATCCTGGAATTTCTTTTTCAACAGTTTCAGTCAAGTCACTGTTGATTTTTCAAGCTTATCGTACCTTTTAAATCTGACCTTACGGATGGTCTCACTATCGACAGTCTCGCGCTCTTGTTGTATTTAATTGGTTTTAACAAAGTGGGAAATCAATAGGACCAGGAGGGACAGAAAGACAGCAGGGTTTTGCAGATATCTGTCCACACCAGCTCATCGAAATGTCCACAGTAACACTGACAACTACTACTACAAAAGATGAATAAGGATTGTGAGATTAGTCACCACTGCAAATTTGATTTTAAAATTTCACCTATTTGATGCCGTAGTGACTAAGAAAATCACAAGCCAAAATTTTATAGCTTTTGAATAAGGAAAACGTCCCCAAATGTTGCATCTAACAGGAAGCTGAAGCCCGTTAATATGTATATATATTAAAAAAACAAACAAACATGCAAATTTAAAAAAAGCAGAAGTAAAGGTGCACTATGTAACATTTACGGTGAAGTGTATGCCATCTGCTTGTCTCTATAGAGAAGTTAATGCTTTGTCTGGAATGTTCCACAGTCTCTCACATGGAGAGAAGTAGGTTAAGGTTAAGTTACAGGTCAGATCTGTGAAAAGATGACCCTGCTTACAGTACGATTAATAATCTAAGTGAAGCAATAATATCTCCATGAACACAAACAGGTGGCAGACCCTCCCTCAAAAAGTTACATACCGTATTTTCCGGGTTATTAGGCGCTCTGAATTATCAGTTGCACTGTCATTAAATAGTCTATTTTCAAACCTTTTTCACAAATAAACCGCACCGGACTTTAAACGAAACACAACAGTTAGATGGCTCAGTCTGACATTGTTTGTCACGTTCACAGCTTTGTTCAATTGTGGCGTGTAGGGAGGGTGCTGTCTGGGACCGCTGGATTGTTGCCGTGTTCGCAGTGACTCAGTTGTTCAGTTGTGTCTAGAAGTGGCACATTGCACTCGTTTTTTCGGTTCGTTCCTCCGTTCCGTTCCTCGTCTGCCTGGAGTGATGAGTCTGACTGTGGGTGTTTTTCCCTCCGTGCATGTTTGCGTGCGCTGCGGGTGGTGCGGCTTTGTAGTTTACTGAAGTTGTGCCAGGACACATGAGTGGATTCGTGTATAGGGCACTCTGGACTGTGGGGTGCACAGTCGTTTTTTGATGGGGTTAGAGGCATAAGAGCGTGCCCTACAGTCCGGAAAATACGGTAGTTAATTTTTACTATAGATGTAAGACAAATGCATATTATATTGCCTGCACTCAATATCTGTGTAGTTTATGTAACTGATGATACAACTATTCATGGGTTTCAGGCAGGACTCTTTCCAGATCTGAATGATTTGTTCCTCCGTCATTATAGCAATGAGGCAATTCAAAATATTATATTGAACTGGGAAAGCTCCTCACAAAATCCTAACTATTTAAAACAAGAATTTCTGTCACAATAGTAACATTAACACAATGTGATATCAGTATTTAAAGCTCTTATATAATGGAGTGTTGTTTATTGCCAGTGGAACACATGCTTGTGTCTGGTACAGTGGCATCCTCCCAGGCCTATTTTTAGAGTGTCAGAGCCCGGGCCATTAATCCTTCTGCCTCCATCAGTTAGAGAACCATACAACATCTGCTAACCACCCACACACATGTACACAACACACACACACACACACAATACAGACGTTTAATACAAATGTCCCCAAAGAAGAAGCTTAGGACAGAGGAGGCAACATGTCCCTCAATAGGATCCTCACCGCATAGGTCTGGGACATCAAGTCACACAATTAAAAAACTGTCTTGACCCAGTACAGATATATTGTGTAAGCACCTCTCAATGTCTGCATATAATTATATAAGCGTTTCATTGTCTGATAATCAGGAAGTGCGTGTTAGCATGTGAGTTTCTGTTCGCTTTACCCTCACAGCAGAACTCTGCACTTATAAACTAATCGTGATGAATATTTAAGATGTTTGGAATGATTAAATTAAAGGTCCACCATGTAATTTTTACAGTAGGGTTCACTACTTATGGCATTAAACATCTATCTAGCAGTCATTTGTTTTTATTGCTCAAATCTACCTTGAAAACACACATTCTTACTGTGAGTAGGGTTGCCTCTCCACAGATCTAACCTGTAACCCTGGTTTGGTTGGTCCACCTGCTATTTTCAAGGAGATAAAGCGAATGTTATACTGTGGCAAAGCAATGACATCTACAAGACAATCAGGTGGCGGACCCTCTACCTATTAAGTTACAAAGTGCAGTTTTAATAAGTGAGGAGTAATGTAGAACCACTGCAGACTGTTTAAAAAGAACTAGAACTGTTTTTCATGTACAAGACAGTAAAAATGATGTGCAGCGCCTACCGAAAAAGACATTAATAGTTATTTAGAATCCCTGTAGAGTCAAACTGAGCTTTAGGACAGGTCAGAATTCTATGGTAGAATTTGCTGTTTAGATTGCAGATTTGTTGACCTGGTTTATGGTTCATATCTCTGTAATTACTGGGCCTATCCACATGAATCAAAACTGTAAAACTATTAATGTCAAATGTCTATTCTTGTCAGCACAAATAAACAAAAATACTTTCTTCACAATAGCGTCAGAAAAAGGTTTCATTAGGCTATTCAGTCACAAATATGCGGTTGTTGTCAGCTGAAAGGACTTCAATTTATTTTTGAAGAGTCCAAAATCACAACAGCAGTCATCTCACAGGGCTTAGCAACGCACCACAGACAGAATGAAAGATTAATATAGCAACTTTGTGGAGCCAATCTTTTACAAATAATAAGATTCTGCTTAGTTATTTCTTTCAAAAATAGTGACTCTTCAGTCGGGTTATATCATTTTCTGTCCTGCATCTGAAATTATGATTAAATTCTTGAACGTCAAAGCAAAATATTATCTTTTTAAGTTGTTTTTTTCTGCTGCAAGAATATACCTAAAACATGTACTACATCCTCCAGCTAGTCTTTCCTAAGATCGTGGCTCAGATATGGGTAAGAGTCCCCATGTGCTGCTGCTTCCAGTGGCATGAAAACTGACTCTTATGAGCTTTAAGTCATGTTATAATGTTGTTACCTTCTCAAAAACATGCCTGGAGTTGTGTTTTGTTTCATTCATACAAATGCTTAATATTGGCCTTTTAAAAGATTCCCTAAAATAGATAAGACAAAATATCCCCATGCAGCAAAACATAGTCTTACTACTTCACCAACATAAGCTTAGTGTATTTTACTCACTACCATAAACACTAAAATAAATTAGTATTTCTTAAATATATCTACAATGATATATCTACAGTGCAATTAAAAGATAGTGAATTACTGGTTCTGTTTCCATTAAATTCTGCAATCTGAAACCCAGAGGGACACTATCAGCACCAATGTATTTGCGATAAGCTGAGTGGTTGAAAAACGCACCTCCTGTAGTGAAAAATCAATGCGTGTGTGAGGGGAGTGAGGTTGGAGAAGTTAAGGGGAGATTGTACAAAGAGACAGATATGGTGGCAAAATGAAGGCTCTTCCTAACCACACAGGCCTTTAATTTAATTTTATTTTTTTTGCATGTTTCTATCAGCTGTTCTTGTTCTTATAAAACTTGACACGGCAAGTGTCAGACTGGAGAGTGGAGAAAGTAGCTTGTATTTTCTGTCATAACACTTCAAGGATGCTGCAAAAGTCATATTCGAGTTCAGAGCTGTTTTCATTTGAATGTTTGAATGTGGATGGCTGTCAGTTTTGTGTTAATAGAAATATACTGTAGGTCCAGACGAGGGCTTTTAATAATGAGCACTTGAAAATGAACCAACCGTGGAAGTGGAAATTGCATTAACCAAGACTGAATCAAGACCAATACCAATAGACCACCTTTTCCTATTCTGTACTGTGGTTCTCAAACTTTTTACACCAAATAGCACAAAATCTAAATCAGACTATTACAGGTCGAAATCAGAGTCCTGCACCAGGTCAGGTACTCGCGGATACCTGATGGGTACGGGCAAACAGTTGCTGAAACAGGCGGGTTTTAACGTTCTGGAATTTTACAGGCGGGTATGTGGGCGGGTAGTAATTACACACAGGCAGGTCAGGACTAAATCAGGACTAAACCAGGACTACACTAGGACTAATCTTTGACTTAAGAGAGAGAGAACCCCGAGCCCATGGAA